AGTAAGGAAAAGGAGGAGCTACGGGTTACCTTTGGGTTTGGCTAGGGAAGCAGATTTGTGTTTCTATTGAGAGCACACATATGTTTCGCATTCACACAGCTGATGTAACTGGATTTGAAGCCATACATGTAAATGATGAGGATTAAAATGCTCCATGAACTCTCCATGGTCATGTTTTATATCTGTCATAATCTTTTATAAATAACTTATTTTTATGGAAGTAGATTACCCTATCCAAGTTTACTTCGTAGCATTGGAAGACATGGAATACATTTTAGTGTGGAATCATTCCAATTATATTAGTTTGTTAACATCTTCTCTTTTGTTTGAAACTGATTTAAAAAGTATTCTTTTCTCACAAAATTACTTTTCTGGAATTTGTTCACTTATTGTTTAAAGTCAATAATAGAGCTACTTATAGTAGCACTGCTAACATAATAACAACATAACTTTGGTTTTCCAATTGCCAAGCTGATTCATATCTGTTAGATATTTTGTGTTTTATAACAACTGCTCAAAATATACATTTAATTTCTTGTGGGTTATACTTTAATAGGATTTTAAAGACAACCTCAAAGGCTTTGTAGGTAAAGATAACTGTTTTCTGATATAGCTGTTGATAATACTTTCTTTTAGAAACCTGATGGACTCTAATCAATCAATCCAAACCCAACTATACTATGAAAACCATTTATTGAAAAGTTCAAGCACTATACAATCAGATATGCGTTATTTTGTTTCTACTAAAATGCTAATAGAAATTTTCCAGTGTGGTTGGCTCCTGAGATAGCAGAAAGAAATAGGTGGTGTATAAAACGAAATGTGAAGCATATTGTTTTTTCATTTTCTGGAAAATCATCTTTTCTTCCCTTTATGCTTGAAAGTTTGAGAGCAACCTTCTCTTTTACTTATTTTTAAGACACTAAATTTTGGAATTTTATCAACCCTGCACCCCTTACCTCTTCTCTTTTTTTCCACAGGTGATTTCTATTCACTGCTTTCCAAGCTGCTAGGAGAAAGGGAAGATGTTGTTCATGTGCATAAATACAATCCTACAGAGAAGGCAGAGGCAGAGGCAGACCTGGTAGCTGAGATTGCAAATGTAGTCCAAAAGAAGGACCTTGGGCGAGCTGATGCCAGAGAGGGTGCAGAGCGTGAGGGGAAGGGCAATGCTATTCTTGTCAGAGACAGAATTCACAAGTTTCACAGACTAGAATCTACTCTGAGGCCAGCAGAGAGCAGAGTTTCCTCAGTACAGCAGCCCCTACCTGGTGAAGGCACCTGGGAATCAGAACACACAGGAGGTGCGTCTAGGGCTTTTTCGAAAAATAAAGTGAAATGCTGCAATGCACAGTAGCAAAATCTGAAGGGAATAAAAATTAATGGTGAAAAAACTCATCAGTAAAAAGGACATCATTAGAAAAAGTGTTAGTCAGGTTTGGGCTATCAGATATCACATTGGTTTGAAGAGTTATTTCTTTGTGTTTTGGTCCAATACAATGTAAATTCAGTTTCCATTCAACTGGTGAGCCAGAATTACCAGGACCAGAAACACTTGAATCATGTTGGGGATGGTAGCATATGAAATTCATGGTAACAAATTCTTACTATGTCAACATTCTCCATTTTGTTCCATGGAAAGAAACTGAAAATGCAAAAACATGGTATGTAAACTCCCAGTGTATGAAATACTTATGGTACACTACCTTCTATTAAGGTATTTACCTTCCTCTCAAAGGAACCGTTTACTTCTCTCCAGTTGATTTGTACATTGTAACTATACTTAACGACTTTGATTTCTTAAGTTCCATCATTAATTACTACCTTCATTGGAAAGTGAAGTAGTTATGTCTGAAAGGACCGCCAGTCAGGGAGTAACTATCAGATTTATCTTTCTAACCATGATTGGCTGCCATAATTAGAGGGCAATACCTTATTCCCTTCAGGTTTCTGTACCAGCAAGCGATGGATGCTTCTTCTCTGTCTTTAATTGTGTTGTGGCCTCTGTGATATCGATTGTGTGTCGTGTTACTTGCTAATGTGGAAAGCCAGATAACACAGCATGTGGCGATCATCTCCAAAACAGTGACCGATGGCCGTGCATGGCATCTCTCTGTGCGTGGGCTGGGATGGCGCAGGCTGCCAGCTTGATGTTTTCAATACAGCTTTGCAGGAAGTCATAAATTATTCAACACCCAGCTGATTTGTATTTATAATTGAAAAAAATTAGCATGCAGGTTTTTTTCTGACATGCAAGTTTCGAACATTGTCCATTGGGACTGGCCTAGTGGTCTCTATGATATGTTAAATGGAACTCAGATTTCTTACCTCTTCCTATTTAAACACTAGCTCTGCTCTAACGGATTCTAAATTTATTGAATAAACCTGTGTTTCTCAAGAGGTGGTCCCTACACCCCCTTGCATCAGAATCTAGGGTGCTTCTGAAAAACCTAGATTCTCAAATCCTACCAAAGAACAGTGAGTTGCATCTCTTGAGTCTGATATCTAGAAATCGGCAGTATGTCCCTCTCCGTTTCAGACTGGGTTGTCTGTCTGAACCTCTATACTAAAGACAATAAGTTGTAATCCAAACAACATGAAAATAAAAGGCAAAGGGGACCTCGAGTAAGAATACAGTTCTATTCAAGTGTTAAATGTTAGAGTTCAGCCTGCTTTATTCCATGACTTGTGTTTGCTTGTTACTCTTCGATTTGATAAAACATGATTATAGGCATTGTAAGTGTCAACGAAAAAACCCATAGTTTGACTTAAGACATTACATTCCTGAAACCTACTTCGTTTCCCTAAGAAAAAAGTGCTTAAAATCCCCAAAATACATTTACTTTCCAAATCTCTTCATACTCAGAAGCTGAGACTACCACTCATATCCCCAGTTCAGGTTACTAGCAAAGCCCAATACCAGGGCATTTTCAGAAGCAGCATTTTAGATTCATGGACCCTCCCAGATTTTGGAACTGCAATACCATATGGATCCCATCCAGTTGATTTGAGGGTTTAAAGGTGAAATGATTGGATCAGTTAAAAACCTGGATCTGACTGTATATGCTAGGTCCAGAACTACCTGAAGGTTTCAAAGGCAGCACCATTTTGTGGACCTTCCGATTGGCGTGAATTTCACTTGGTTCCATACCCTGGCAAATGCCTTTGAAGTTGAGCTTTCCACCTCATTATGGGTTGAGTATCAGTGAGCACCACGATTCATGGAGAGCAACAGAGAATGACATCTTCCAGCTTTGCCGAGCTGAGAAAGTCCTTGGCGTTCCAAGGAACAAAATGGTTAAGTACCTTCAATGTGTCTCTAAGAATGCAGCCATCACAAACCCCCCCCTTTTTAAAGTCTTGTCTTCATGATCTTTGATGGTTCAGAGTCTATTCTGAAAACTCTCCTCCCAACAATTGTGAAGCTTTCCAACTGTTGTTGGATAGAGGATGCCTCAAGCAGGAAGCAGTAGTCGCAGCCTCCCCGCCACATATGGACAGGAACACACACTACAGCTTCCTCCCACCCTCACACCCAGGTACTTCTCCATTTGTCTAAAACAATTGAAAACCACTCCATGGAGGTAATATGATAGAGAACACTTCAGACTCGAGGCAGACCGCCTGGCTTTGAATCCTGGCAACACCATTTATTTGTGGTCCCTAGGCAGATAATACATGCAAAGTGCTTTGAACAGTTTCTGGCACACACTAGTAGAAAACATTTAATAAATGTTATAATAAGATAGCAACAATTATGATTATTATTGTCACCATTAATGTCATGTTGGATGAAAATTTCAAAAATTTAAACACCAATGCAGTAGAACTAAATAGTAATTACTTTAACGTAAGCAGCATCTTATGAGAGAAATTTCTTGCAATGTGTAGGAAAGCTGCAAAATCTGGCACTTTAATTTGATAAATTATGAAAATGATTTGACAGAGTTCTATCATAATGGAGTTTATGGCTCTTCAAATCTCTGATTACTTATATTGATCCGCCTTGATATTTGCCTGTGATATTTGATGCACAGTGTGAAAATATTCAACTTGGTAAATTGAGAAGCAGATGCACTCCTTTTCACACCTAACATTATTTTGATTTCCATCATCAGTTTGTATCTATATTGAGGCAGCATTAATAGAATAGAAACATAATGTGAGCTGTCTTTATTCTAGTTGCCTTCTGGAAACTAGATTTGTTGAACAATGCATTAAAAACTACAGTAGCTATTCTCATTGGCAGATTTGATTACACTACTATTTGCTAGCACATGGAAGCCTGATTCAGCATATATTACACACCACTGGATACATCTAAAAATATGTCTGTATTTGTGTGATGCTTTCCCTCAGATAAGAGAACTCAGAGTCTTCACTCTATAATACACTTAGATTGAATTTAATTTCTGTGGACAAGTTTTACTTAACTCAGAGTCCATCCTTTTAACATATTTCAGCCATATGCTTACCTCTAGGTTCAAGTATTTCTAGAGTAAAATGAGGCATTCATTTGGCTGATTTTTTAATTGCTGGAAGGGAAGAGAATAATAAAAACAAGCACATACATAGCCCTTACTCTGAGCCAAGCTAAGTGTTTCAGATGCATTAACTCATTTCATCCTCATAACAAGATTGGTATTTATAAATTCATGTAGCAAGAATGAAACTGAGGCATTGAAAGGAGATAGCTCAAGGAACCAAGACTTAAAGTCAGGCAGACTTGCTCCAAGTCTTGTTTTTTAATCATTTTGTTATTCTCCTTCTCACAATAAAATTAAGATAATAATGGATAGATAGATAAGAAGATGACTGCCTTTTTCCAATCATCCCATTATCTCATCTAAGATCATAATAACTGTAGTTATATATTACCTTTGGTCATGCTTTCTCAATCACTATCCAAACAAATTGACCAATATGATCTCATTTGCAAATGCTGATCTAATTTTCTTATTTAAAAAGAAAAAATCCTGCTAATGCTTTGAACCCCTAGTTATGTCGTAACTCTCTCCCTCACTTCACTCCCATTAAATGAAACATTATAATTAGTTCTTATTTTCTTTTTGACATCAGCAATTATTTTCCTATGCTTTTAGTTAATTATAGTTATTCCTGCACCTCGGATGAATAACAATCACTGACCAAAATAATGTATCTTTTCCTCACTAGATGAGAATTTGCAATTGTAGAAAATACAACCACTACCCTTTGTTCTTGTTGTGGTCTTCCAGTAATTTCATCAGGATCCTTTCCATAAGATTAAATGTGAAGAGCCTAGTTATGCTCAGGTTAGGTCATAGTTCTGAGTTGGAAATTATATATTTTTTTCTCAACGTTATCTAATTCCTTTAGTCCTTATGTAACAGATAAATGAATTATCTTTTAAATGCTCATTAATAATTTCATATGAAAGCAGCATTGATCATTAACATTAATCTTTTCTTGGAAAGGTGTAATTCATTAGTCCTTTTAGTGATTTATTGATACAATTTTAATAGTAATGTTTAATTTTTTTCTGAAAGTAGTAACTTTTCTAAATTTATAGTGGACTATGAGGCTGCACATTTACCTTTATTTATAATAAATGCAAAGGTTCTTCTGAAATAATCCTATTCTTTGACATCTGAATTTAGAGCAGCAGACACTTGGAGTTGGGAATAGCTTCCCAAGGTCATGTGTAAAAAATGTGTATTTAATTTTCAAATTAAAACTGTAAGTCTACAGAATTAATTAATCATGTACTGAATCACTTCTTAAATGAAAGCTAAGAGGAGCCTGAACTCAAAATTTTAACTTCTTTGTGATTGTTAATGTTAAGTTTAAGTTAGAACCCAAACATATTTTATCATACAATTTCTTTAATAAGGATTTGAGATTTGTCTTCATTAGAGAAATTATTATTATTAATAGAAAATAACCATCCTTAACATTGATGCCTGAAATCTGGCTCAAGCCCACGGTTTCTTTTCTATGAAATAAGAAAATTATCTGGGATGAGCCAGTATGTTCTAGCCTTCTATGATTCTCATGTAGAGGTGGCTGGAATTGGGAAAACATCTGTATTAATTCCATATACACACACCACTGGTCGTAAATTATTGCCTTGATTCTTGATCATTTAATTTTGAAGCTAATAGCCTTTAACTACCTAATAATTTAAAAGATGGTGACATTGGAAGCAAAACATCAATTAACTGAGCTAATGTTCAGAGATGAGAACAGTTTTCCTTTATTGTAGAATTTCTAGTTAACTCAGAGACCTAGATCCTGAAGACTTTGAGGTCTTGGTTAGGTAATCTTAATAAATGTACAATTATATTTTTAATGAAATTTAATATAATTTAATATAATTTCTACAAACATTCTTGACATGCACAAAACAGTTCTCCTTCATAGTGACTCAGTACTAAGAGAGTCAGTTTGCTCAGTGTTAGACCTCTTACATATTTCCGCAGATAGCATCGTACTGTTTTGAAAATTCACCAAAAGTATATATTTTTAAATAAATATGTACATATTTACACTGAGTTTTTCTTCTTGAAATTTTCTTCTTGAAAATCTCCAACCAAAAAAGATTCCTGTATGTGACAAAATAGTGATTTTTGTAGACTTTCAAGCACTTATCAATCTAAGAAGTTTAACATAGCTAGGTTAAACTTCTGTACACAACACTTCCAATATTTTATTAAAATCATATTTGAGCCTTGGCCAGTATGGCTCAGTGGCAGAGCATCGGCTTGGACATTGAAAGGTCTCAAGTTCAATTCCTGGTCAAGGGCACTTACCTGGCCCCCGTTGGGACACGTGCAGGGGGCAACCAATCAATGTGTCTTGCTCACATCTCTCTCTTCCTCTCTCCTTCCCTCCCTTCCACTCTCTAAAAAATCAGTGGAAAAAAATTCTCAGGTGAAGGATAACAACAATTTTAAAAATCACATTTGATCCCAGAACAATCTATTAATTTGGGGCATTGCGTATTTTCTATCAGAATTAGTATCTCTGCACCTTCATGAGCACCTCACTTCCAGTACCAGTTGGTGAACCACTGCCTAGAAAGGTTCCAGGAACCATGATATCTATTTATTGTATTTAATGAAAATAATTTGCCAATTAGCCTTTATTACTGAGTCACTTCACAGTGTCTCTAGCATAGTGCTAGGGATAAAAAACTGTAGTACAAGTTAATTATAAGATTATAAGGCTGTGTAAATGCTAGTTGAAAACATAATAAGCAAGAAAGACGGGCATAGCATTCAGGTTCATGCATTTATCAGGCCATTGCAGTAGGGTAGGCCCCGTGCAAGCCTTGGTGAATAAACAGTGAATAAGACATGATCCCTGCCCTCGAGAAATTCCATCTACTTTTGTCGTAGTTCCGGGCTTCGAGAATTTGACTAAAGCTACTAAACATTTATGTTGTCGCGAGGTTCAAGGTTTTCTTGGAGCCCATCCAGAATCTTCAGGAGCTGGCGAATGAGGACAGAATCATGACACCCAAACAGACACTCTGAGATGAGAATGAATGAAGTACAACCTGAAATTCAAGCACCTTTAAAATAATTTAAAACATTTTCTTTGGGGAATGATTTATCCATCTGTTGATCCATCTAGACATCTCTAATTATTATGCTTATGCCCTATTTCCATAGTTTACTTTCATAAACACGATTTTAATCATGTCACTCCATGCTTAAAAACCCTCAGCAGCTCCCAGCCGCCAGTAGCAGCAATTTGTGTCCTTTCTTCCTATTATGACAAGCGTGATAGATGATGAATGCTATTCAGCTGAGCAGCCCCTTTCACATCCACTGCTGTGCCCAGAACTGTTTACAAATTTAGAAATGCCAGCTGTAACTCTGCCCCCCTCCTCCCCAACTCAAGAGGGCATATCAAAGCACACGTGAGTGAGGATGACATTCTCATGTGCGCTAACGTATTTCAAAAGTAAATTATTCCCAAACTCTGCTTTAGTGCTACTGGTAAGGTATTTGCAGCATGCTTCAAAATTAACCACAGTATAAAGCAAGACACCACAGCTCAGAACTACAGATTCATTCATTTTTAAATCCATATTCCTTCATGTTGTCTACAACACATCTTCCAGTCTAACCTAGATCTCTGGGTCTGTTCATCTGCCTCCTACTTCCGGATCCCCACCTGAGGTACACAAGCATTCTTTCCCTGTTACATAAAGAACTTGAAACATTCTGCAATTATAAGCATCCTCTCTTTTTATCTTTCTGATCTAAATGCTCTCCCCCCACTTCTATACCCAGTGAACCCTCCACTTAAGTGCAAGCACAAATGTTTCTTCTTCTGGGAAACCTTTCAGGTCTGACCTTAACCCTCCCCTCTCCCAGCCCCACCTCTCCCACGTTCCCTGCCCTATGTTGTGCTGTATGTATTTGCTTTCTGTTTTTCTCATTTTGTAGTTCCTCAAGGCCAAAAATGATGTTTTGTGTGTGTGTGTGTGTGTGTGTGTGTGTTTCCCAGAATCTAGCATAATGCCTCACCTACACGGTTCACTTAGGGTTAGTGGTTCGCAACCTTAGCTGCACATTAGAATCACCTGGGAAACTTTTTTTAAAATCCTGATTTCTGGGCCTCATCCTTTTTAAATTCTGTTTCTTTGTTACTAATGTTGTGGCCTCACCCCATAACAAAGAAACAGAATTTCTGGAGAATGAAAAATTTCTGGGCGCCATCCTCCAGAAATTCTGTTTGTTACTAATGTTGTGGCCCCACCCCTTAACAAAGAAACAGAATTCCCGGAGGATGAGGCCCAGAAATCAGGATTTTAAAAATATTCCCAGGTGATTCTAATGTGCAGCCAAGGTCGAGAACCACTGACTTAGGGGATGTTAAAGATGCTTCAGCAAAGCCTGTAGGCAGAGCTGATCTAACATCCTATTGATTGTGCTATGTTTTGTTAATTTTTTTGAAAGAAAAATGATAAATGTGCAAAGGTAAAATATGTTGTGGAAAAGTACTATTTTTTTTTATAGTCAAGAGAATTATTATAAAGTGTTTATTCTCACACTGGCATCCTCTCAAGTTTCCAGAAGCTAATTATAGGAGCCCTGTGCCTCCCTTTTCCCTCATCTTTAATGCCTGTCTTTGAGATTTTGCTGTGTTGCTACATCCTCCAGAGGGTGGGGAGGATAAATGAGACTGGAATTGCTTCTTTTCTACTTCTCAGCATCTCTGTTGAAGCATTTTGGAGGGGAAGAAATATTGACACTGATACAACAGATTTCATAGCATCTTCGTAACTATATATCCTCAGAGTAGCTACTCCACACATCATACCTCTTTACTCGAATGTCTGTAAAGGGATTACCACAAATGAACCCAGCTATTCTCTATAAATGTATTCTGGTCAGAAATAAGAATGGCTTGGAAGTCATTCGGTTACAGAGTTTCTGTCATTTTTTCCTTTTTCTTAATGTTAGGAAGCAGTGAAATATAAGCAGTGAAAGAGGATATCTCCCCACTCCTATTTTTCATCGGAACACTGAAATTAGGGAAAATGAAGTTGGCATCTTGTATAGTTCCTTACACAATGGGTGGCTTATTGTAGGGTCTGGTGTATATTGAACATTAGAATGTACACAAGAGGGGAGGGAGGGAGGGAGAGAGAGAGAGAGAGAGAGAGATGCTTAATTGGCCATGTTTGGCATTTATTTACAACATTTAAAAGCTTTATATTAAAATTATGCCATCCATGTGGCCACATTTTCCAAAGATACTGATTAAAATAAGAATCTTATTAAGAAGAAGCTGGTCTCACAGTTGTTCTTATTGATTTAAGGGCAAGCAGGTTTTATAGGCATCTTATCAACAGGAGAAGAGAGCATGTAATTCCCGAACAGTTCACAGTCGTTTACTCGATTCATAGCTCCAGAAGCTGCTTGGAATGTGCATGTGGTATGTCATGTAGAGCACGGCTTGATTTCTTTCTTTCTTTGCATCTAGTGACGTTACTGCATGAGTTTCTTATAAGCAATGTGAATCTTCATGAGGTTGTACTAGCTTTCTTGTTTACACTAAATGTACGGATTTGTTTTTTAGATTTCCATGTAGAAGAGGCGCTGGACTGGCCTGGAGTATACTTGTTACCAGGCCAGGTTTCTGGGGTGGCTGTGGACCCTAAGAATAACCTGGTGATTTTCCACAGAGGTGACCATGTCTGGGATGGAAAGTAAGTAAGATTTTTCCTTCAATGAGTAAATGAAAATAAAAAGAGCATGCATCACTTTTCATTACACTAGGGATAGTGCTGAGAGAACTTTCAAGGTTCTTTTTGAACTTGATTTGTGTGAGCAAAATATATTTGTTCTTTTATTGTATGACTGTGACAAGTAACAGAGCGGAACTCTAGTGCATTTTAAAACAAAGTAGTCATTTTATCAACTAGTTTATGAAAAGAAGGCAATAACATTCTGCCTGCCTACCATGTTTTGCTCCCTTTAAGCTTGCCTTCACACTTCTAAGGAGAATAATACTGAAAGCAGTTAAGAAATTGGCTGAGGGCCCTAGCTGGCTTGGCTCAGTGGATAGAGCGTCGGCCTGCGGACTGAAGGGTCCGGGGTTCGATTCCGGCCAGGGGCACATGCCTGGGTTGCGGGCTCGATCCCCAGTGGGGGCCGTGCAGGAGGCAGCCGATCAATGATTCTCTCATCGTTGATGTTTCTATCTCTCTCTCCTCTCTTCCTCTGTGAATCAATAAAGAAATATATTTAAAAAAAAAAAAAAAAGAAATTGGCTGAGGAATTCTAAGACTTCAAAGGACGTGTGTGAAAAGTTACTCTTTGACTATAATACAGCACTTTGTTATTTCCTGATACTGGGTGCAGCCTGTTCTAAGGCCACTGGACTTGCCCTTTCCCTTGGACTGCTCCTCATCAGTGATAACAAGTAGCCTCTAGACTAGAGTCTAGAGACTGTGGCTGGAGCAGTTTGGCCACCACACGCGTAGGAATAATTGGTACCCATTTTGAGATGCTGCCTGTTAACAGGGTTGTAAACACATTTACATAATTTTTTTAAAAAGATGGCTCCAAAATTTAGCTGGTTATTTTAAAGCTACCGAGTAATGAATATCCATTTATTAATTTGTTTTATCATACATTTACATAAGAAGGTACATTTTAAAATATCTTATCAATTAAGTGGATCAGTCTTCTCCTTTCAAGAGTACATCTATAGGATCCGGAACATTGGGGATCCACATGTGTACTTCAGTTGTTCTTTTTCCTCGCTTTCAGAGATGTTGATTATACTCATGCTAAACCTGCTGTGTCACAAAACACATGTCTATAGCTTCCTTTGTGCCATTGAAGGTGGAATTCAATCAGCATTTCGGAATAGATTGGTCGCTTTGTTCCTGTTTAATTGTCCTTTCCAGTTGTCACACTTGAGAATGGAATCGGAGAAAGAGATCACTTCAGAGTTCAAAAGAAACAATCGATCTCAATATTCCTATTCGTGCATCTCTCATACATCATCTTAGTCATTATTGAACATCTAATGGTATTTTAACAAGTACTTTTAAAGGCAAACTATTACTATTCATTGTAGCATATTCTTCATTTTAATGAATATTGCCACGTTTTCTGCATGGATTTCTCGCCTCATTTTATCAGAGAAGAAAATTGCGGCATCATTTCCTCCCATTGATGCTGTCTCAGCTGGCTAAAGACGAGTTGGACAAAGCCCCGTTTTCCATTTTAATGTTATATTGATTCCAAGTAAACAGCAGAGGCTGGACTAGCTTATTAGGAAAAGGGGGTCAGTAAAAGGAGCTCTGGGCAGGAGATGACACGAGACTCTGAAACAAGAACCACATAAGGACGTTCTCTGTGACTTCTATGGCTTGAACTGAAAAACTGCTTTTTCCTGGCATCTAGCTTTCATCTGGATACCCAGTGTCATGTGTAAAGAGATTCCAGTGTCACTGCCAAAGCCCTGGTGTCTGTACCCTCATGCATGGCACCAACAAAGTGGTGTTGTCTAAAACGCAAGACTTCTTCAGAGCAGATGTGCTGGTTCAATTCATTACATCTCTGTTTCTTCTTTCTTCTTCATCTCTATCTTCAGGTGTGAGAATACTTGTTATCCCTCGTGCCTTCTGCCTCTCCTGTATCACCAGCTGGCCTCTGGCACCCTTTGCAGTCGTGCTGGTGAGGGAATTCTCTTCCAGCATTCAGCTCTCTGCTTTCAACAACTGTCTGCTTTATTATTCATGAGGGGAATTAGAAGTGGATTGCTCTGTTCATTGCTTTTTCTTTTTTTAGAAAAATAGATTTGGATTTGTGAGCTCTATTCTTCGATCACCCTTCCTACATACACAAGTCACATTATATAAAATATATGGAGTACATAGTTTTTCTTCTCCCTTGTTAAGTATCCAAGAACTGTACAAAGAAAAAAGCACTTTCCTGTAGAATTTATGATGGGCTGGTGGAGACAATGGAAATTTAAGATGGTGTGGAAATTGCATTCTTGTGGCTACCACTGCTTGTATAGAGTAGTGATAAATCCTACATTAATTTTTCTTGGAGTCTTTCTTATCCTGATATTCTTCATGCTCACAAAATTGTAGGTTCCATAAGGCCAAGGCTTGCTTTCAGCCAAACTAAGTACTCTATATACTCTATGTCCCCTAATTTTTAGATGGTTATTCTTTAAGTATCAGACCGTGCTTGGAGTTAATAATAATCTCTAATTATACTTGTTACCCAAAGCTCCTTTGACATCATCACACTATCTGCCTGTACTATTACCCTTCATTCTTACCCAATATTCCTGATCAGCTCTTACTCTTCTACTTAACCATGCTGAATAAGCATAGCAACCAAAATCCTACATAATAAAAGCATAGTATGCAAAAAAAATTGTCCCCTCAACCAGGAGTTCGACCAGGGGGTGCGGCTGGTCAGGGGAAGGGAGGGAGTACCCATTGGCCACTGCCAGCCACTAGGGACCCTGCCAGTGCATTAATTTTGTGCACTGAGCCTCTAGTAATAATAATAATAAACCACTTAACATCCTGAAAGATGATTGTCACTCCCTTTCTCAATTTGATTTCCATTTTCCTTCCACTCTATGTCTCTTACTTCAATATGGCTACTTTAAGAAGCTTCTTCCAGCTAAAATAGGAAAGACCTATTCCCAGCAGGGCGTAATGAAATTTTAAAGGTCCTCTTGTCTGCCCTGGTGTTAGGGCAGCATAGCAGCTAGAGCTCTTTAATGTTCAAATGCTTCCCAATAGGAGCTGGGTAGCTCCTGGCTCAGTAATAGCTGTTCCTGGGTTTCTGTCTTAAAATCAGCCCCACTGTCAAAGACTCACTTCTTGGCCTTTCTTTTATTTATCCAGCTATTGTCAAAGTACTGTGCAGAACTCACATCACTAATCTAACCATGGGTTTTACCCCTAATTTTGGTGTTAAAAGTTGCTTCCTTTGTACCTTTTATTATTTCTTCACGTGGAGTTGAAAGAGAACTTGGGAATTGTATCACTTGCGAGTCTTTCTTTACCAATAAGAGAGAACACCCAACACACAGTAGCTTAGGAAAAGAAGATATTTGTTTGCATAAATGAAACTTCAAGGGTATGATGGCCCAAGCAGTATCAATGGGATCTTTTTTTAACACACTTTCTCCTGATTGGCTCTTTTCTTAGGCCCTGAGAATCCATTATCATTCTAGTTACAGTGAAGATACAGTCTATGTCCCTGATAACTCAGTAGAAAATTCTTAAATTGAGTCTTTTAGCATTCTTCAGTCTGACTGAGGTCATGTCTCCCACATCCCTGAACCAGTCTTTGTGGGTAGAGGAATGAAATCCACTCTTTGGCTTAGCCTCAGTTTTGTTGTTGTTGTATTCCTGGAATGTGAGAGTAGAGTTGACATCATCAAAAAATAATGGGCTGAGAGAGAAGCTCAAAATATTGGGTTAACTAAAGAAAAATTGAGGTTTCATTAGCACAAAATAGTGCCATAGACATTGGGCACCCAGAATGGCACATATCTGCCAGAATTGTAGTAATGCCATGAATATCTCATCTCCAGCTTCCTGCCCAATGCAGACATCTCTTTACAAAATCTTCTGCCGTCAGCCAGTGTTAGAATTATTTCTGTGCCAAGAAATTCCCTAGAGATGAGACTTACTCTTCAATTATGGGACTCATCCAGATGTCATAAAGGTCTTCATTATGTTAATCTCAAATCTGAGTCCCTAACTCACCCTCATGACAGCCTGATGCAGAATGGATTACTCCCATTTACCCAGGGCAGTTATTTGCCTATTTGAAGGCAGCCTGTCTTCTGCAGACTAAATGCCCCCAGGCCCTCTCCCAGTCTTGATGCTGACATGTTACTTCCATCTGAAAGTGCTCTGGTTTCCAAGCCTTTTAAAGGGTTTGGTTGAGTAGTGGCCACAACACCTCATGTAGTATCTGTAACAGCAGTATAGTTACTTTCCTTGATGTGTATTCTAGGTATCTGTCAGTATAAAGCGATTGTATTCACTTTCTTCAGCAAGAATATCACCACCTTGTTGCCTTGTGTTGAACTTGTACTATACTAAGATCTCCAAATATATTTTATAAACTGTGCTCAAGTTTTTACTGGAAATTTGTACTCATAAAGTGTTTTTTAAATGTAAGACTTTATTTCAATTATACCTCACTTCAATAGATTTAGCATTGCTTCAGTTTTCAGATATCATTTTATTCTTAATTTACCAGAGAGTGAGCTATCCCTCCCAGCCTTGTTTGTATTAGAGCTGCTGGATGAGCATGCCTGTCACATCTTCATAAATGTTGTTTATGAAATTTGAATTGTCAAATGGTTGGTTAAACAAATGTTGTTCTTAGAGATGTAATTTTTTTGGACTCTTCTTCAAATTGCCCCCCACATAGCTCACAGTCCTTCTCTTCATCAGTGCTTTATAGAATTTTTTAAAATATATTTTATTGATTTTTTACAGAGAGGAGGGGAGAGGATAGAGAGTTAGAAACATCGATGAGAGAGAAACATCAATCAGCTGCCTCCTACATACCCCCCACTGGGGATGTGCCCACAACCAAGGTAAATGCCCTTGACTGGAATCTAACGTGGGACCGTTCTATCCACAGGCCAATGCTCTATCCACTGAGCCAAACTGGTCAGGGCAAGAATTTTGACAAAATCAATTAT